TTGTGAACAGTAATAGTTGAGAGAAAATTTCTCCACCACGACTCAAGCTTAGCATTAGCTAATTTAGCCTTGTACTTATGCCGCAATTCGAAATATTTAATTTTATAAATATTTTTAAGAAGACAGTTTCTTTCTCTCTGGAATCTACGCCTAGCAGCATTTACATGCTTTCTCTAACAATCAATTTCCTTAGACCATCAAGGGACCCCATTCTTCTTACTTTTCTTCATCGGAATTGAAAGTAAAGCACAATTAAAAACAACGGTAGAAAGTCTGTTTACAACATTTTCTAATGCAATACAATCAGAGCAACTGTTAAGAAGTCACACAATTCTCTCTTACAAAGTTCAGTAAATAAAAACCAGTTCGCTCTTTTTAAATTAAAAGTACACAAATTAGAAGATATAATCGGACGGCATAAAACAAGTTCAAAGATAATCATTTTATGGTCAGAAAGAGAATCTTCCTCAGAGATATCCCAACCTTGAACGAACGTATGGCAGCAGTCCTAAGCTACAAAGCGTAAGGTCAATATAACTCGAGCCTTGCGTGGAACAGAAAGTAGATCCGCGATTTTCATTAAGTAGAAACAAATGATTCGCACTAATAAAATCACCAAGTTTCGTTCCTCTAGCATCAGTAATAGGACTATGCCAAATCGCTGATTTGCTATTCGAATCCATACCACATAAAAATTGCATGGTTTCTTCATCGTTAAAATTTGTGAAATTTTTAATAGTTCTGTGTCAATATTAGTTTGGGGCTCGAAATAAGCGGAACAAATAGTCAAGTCAGATCCGTTGATTTTTATATCTAAAACAACAGTATTATAAACTGTATGATTTAAGTCTAAAAAAGGAGAAAGATTCTGGTTGCGAACAATAACAGCAGACTTGACAACCTCTGCTTCGGAATCATAGTAAACTCTATATTTTATTGGAAAGCCAGGAAGAACACCTTTATAAAAGTGCGGCTCTTGAATCAGTGCGACATCAGTGTCATTTGCCTCCATATATAAAATAAGTTGCTGTGTAGCAAGTTTTGATTTGTGCAAATTTATTTGTACAAGAAACAGACAAATTGTCAGACTTACCCATAATAAATTTTTGAAGCTGCAAGATTCATCATAAATGTATGGCTGGGGCAAGTTCCAGAAAATGGCTTATGATTTACATCAACTTTCTTAGTTGCATTTTTCGTCTTTTTATTAAATCTTATGCAATTAATACACACTTGCACTTCTTTTTTATCACATTCTGAACTCTTATGCTCACCAGAGCAGCAATAACAAGCCAAGGGATTTCTGCAATCAAGACTTCTGTGGTAGCCTAAACATTTAAAATATCTATTTAAAACAACAAAATCTTCAGCTTTACACATATTCCACATCACTTTAATACGCCCAAAATTTAAAATACGCTTGCGCACAGAAGGATGCACCTCAATAACCCCGCTTCTCTCACGTTGAAACTTTTTTAAAGTAAAGCGAACTTTAACGTCTTTCCAAGTCTCTTCACTCACGGTAATTTCAGGATTTTGTTCTTCAATAATTTTTAACAGTTCATCATTACTAATGCTGTTTGGCACATTTTTAATTAAAACTGTAGGATATTTTCTTCTTGGAATAGAGGGATTCAAAATAGATGAGTCTTCCTGCAAAGCAGTAACCAGTTTTTCTTTATCATATCCCGAAGCACATTTCACCATTACTTTATTGTTATGAACTGTTCGAATATTGCTAATTCCAATTTTATGTTTTCGAGGGTTGATTTCAGCTTTAAGGAGCTTTTTAACTTCATCAGATGTACAGTTTTGTGCACTCACAAAAAGACAAGTTGCCTATTGACATGAAGAAAAACTGTGTTATTAACGACTACAATAGCATATGCTTGTAATTTAAAAGGAAAGAGAATTACAGTTCTCGCTATTATTGAGAACTGCAGCATATCCATGGATGCCAACTCTCAGTTTCAAATGTCGTAGATACACCTGCAAAAGTAGCTAAAAAGTCGCTAAATTCAGAAGAAATTTCGCTAAAAGTAGTAGTTAAAATTTGAAAAAGTATAATCCATATTCCATAATAGGTTTTGTTACTCGTCATTTTTTAAACTGAATCTTCATAAAAATATAAATAATGTTCCAATTTTCTGCAAACATCAAAAAGTTTTCACGGACCACCAGTGGTCCGTGGAACACCGGTTGGCGACCGCTGGTCTAAATGGTAAGAGAATTTTCTCTGCTAAAAAACTTTGCTATATGAGGAATATAAGAAATTTTGGTACAAAGAAAAGGTTAAGGAAACCTAGAAAACGCTTAAGGTGGTCTACGGCAAAGGTGCTGTCCTACATTTACACTTCGTTTGTTCGTGTAATACAAAAACATTCATGTTTGAGCCATTAAATGTACTAGACTAGGAATTTCAACTGCCGTTAATCAAATATTAGGAAACATATGTGCTTTAATTTTTAAGGTAAATCGCCAAATAGCTACGATAATCTCTCTTCTGTATTATGCATGCCACGATTGTGCATTCGCTATTATGTATAAGGAACTGTATATGAGACTCGTGTGCGACTGTTGGATTCCACTTTAATTGAATTTGAGCAGAAATAGATGGAAAAAAGGTGTCTGTTTGAAAACTTCAAAATATGATAGTAAACATAGTGAAGAATATCTGAATTCTATTGTCAATATCCTTATCATATAGAAACGTAAATATCTCAGTCTTTTAATGCGTATGCACAATATTTAATGGTGTTACTATACTTCGTTAAACCTGGATGATAACTTCAAGATTCCGTTACAGCTATTAGGGTCTAGAGCACTAAGTGTAAGATTAAGGAAGAAAAGCTATGTATTTAACTGAAACTTGTATAATTTAATCATGGAACGGCTAATTGAAACTCACTTTTAAACTTCGTGTTACGATTACTAAATTAAAGCAAATTGTCGCTACAGAAACGGTCAACAATGTACTGCTTCGCTGCCCACTTTATAGGATTTTTATTATTTTAATTAACCAGTTATTATGATTTAGACCTTTACTACCACTTCTTCCTTCTGTTTCCCTGCCAGAATGTTAACTAGTTCGCGTATATTTTAAGATCAGGTTTTTAGATTGTAATACATAGCGTGTTTTGCTCTTTAGGCCACGTTACTAAGTTGCTACTAGCTCATGTAAGATTTGTAGTCATCGGCCATCCATTATAATTGCTGATATTTGTATATCCACGCTGGTTAGGATGTGACCCAACTTTGCGTTAATTTGGTCTGTATAACCTTTGAGCTACTAGCTAATTTAAATTAAAATTTTACATTTGAACTTACTATTATTTTACGTTATCTCGCCATTACCTGCTAGATGAGGTGTGAGCACCAAGTATGCCTTCTGTTCTTTACTTTTAAATAAAAGATCTTTCACGCCCTTCTCAAGGCTCAGTTGATATTTTAGACTCGGCGATAATTCACTTAAAGTCTACCAAACGTTTGGAGGTTAACTGATGATTGCGAAATATACCAAACTTTATAATTTAATTCGTTGACTATAATCGTAAGAGTAACCTGCTTCAATAACAATTATAATCAATAATGTTCACAAAAGGACAGTCCTCACGATCACATGCTATTCCTTTATATCCCTTGAAGGCCACGTGGCCTTTTCAAATGCTCATTAAATTTGAGTATTTTAAATTCTACTTTAACTGTTTGTATGCAGTTAAAGAAGAAAAGGATACCTAAACTAGATCGACTTTCCTTATGTGTAACGTGTATACGAGACAGTTTCTCTAAAACGTCCTCCACGAAAGCCTCCATTCCCTTAGTCAGGTAGCCTTAACTTGTTTGTCATAATCAAAATAAACTGAAACACGGTCTTAGAAAGTGATCTTATTTTTCGCCACGATTGTTTGAAGTTACATTGTCTGCTCACATACATATGCACTTGCTGACAGTAGCATTTCACAAGCTAGGTCATATATCTAATAATCGCTATCATATTTGCATAAAATTTTAAATTTCAATATTAAAATGCACAGTTATAGAAATTTAAAAAAAAAACTTGATATACTCATAACCTCAAAATATAATTAATCCATTAAACAACATTAAGGTTTATAATAGGCGTAAAATGTAAACAACATTGTACAGTTAATAGGTTTATTTCGGAGCAGAAACATGAAAAATTAACGATGGCCTTGCCGGTAATTCAGCTTTCCGACTGCTAGCCATACGTACTTTCATTTACGCTACATCTGGCACGCGGTAATGAAGGGCAACAGTTCTTATAACATTGACTTTTTTTATGTTTGAAATATTAATTTTTTCTTCCTTATCTTAGCACGGATTCAGTAATGCAAGCTACAGTAATTTTCTTAATATTTCTGTCTAGCATTTCTAGAATCATTTGCATTTAAATCAGAGAATGTAGATATTTCATTGAGAAACCCTGCTGTAAGACTTTCTCCAAACGAAATTTCGCCATTTGTTTTCTGAATGCGTTGGTTGTCATGATTATTAGTGGAACCGATTGGCATATGATTCAAATTCTGAAGAAGACATGGTGGTTTGTAGATTCTAGCCCCATTCTTCTGGATACAATATTGGTCGATTGCCATGATGTAACCTGGACAAATGATCATATCACCACCGAGAACTTCGCTCAAGTTTCTACATTTCCTGCGAATGCATAACTAGCAAATGCTTGCATCTAGAACTGTCAGTGGCAGATTTATGGAGTGGTGAGACTCATCTCTTCGGAAGTTGGGAATCTCTAGTCCTAAGATAGAGGATACATTTGCTGATTTCTAAAATTTAATTAATAATTCTGAGGGCCCTTTTAAACGCAGAACTACTGGCAGATGTAACTTGGGAGACTTCAAAAACCCTGTTACCCTGTTTTGACTGTTGATTTAAAATTATATTCTGTAAAATTTAATTCTATAAAATATGCTATAATTTTAATCATATATATCAGTTGCTAAAAACGGTGACTTTTTGTACAGTGTTGCCAGTTATTCAGTGCTCTCCTCCCAAATGTGAAGCTGGTTGTTCGATCGATTATTCCACGGATCCATGCCCCAGTTGTGTTTGCGATAGAGGTAAAAAAAACTATTTATTTATTAAACATTTAATCTTAATCCTGCAGTAATATTATGACTAGAATTGTTTCAAGTAGTAAAGGTGTAAAAGTGACTTATTTTTTATGTTTGAGTTATGAAACTTAGAATTAACCTCATTTGTATACATGTAACTCAAAACGCTAAGATAGTGACCGTAGTGTGGTACTTCTTAATTTGATACAACAGCTCTGATTACTCTCATTAAACTCTATGTTATAATAATCTGATTCAGTGTGGATCTCAAATAACATTGACCAATATTTTTTTAATTAATTTATCTGCTATATACCCTCGAATTGATATTTTATGATGTATTACGCCATTATTCCAGTACCTCTTGCGAGTGCTTCCAGCTATTGCAAAAGTACGTTTTAAACAAAATTTGTTGCTTATATACTTACCTTTTTTTAACCATCTCAACAAAATTCGACTCAAGTAAGCTGAATGTTTCTGCTTCATTGCTTTTGTTTTTTTTTATATAAAAATATTCAGGAAGATATTCTTTGAGTTTAATTTTCACCAATAAAGCATTTAACGAAAAGTTTAGTAATTATTTTAATAAACAGGGCTTGGAAATTTCCAGTGTTAAAAAATTATTATCTGAATGAAATTATCATCAGAATTATACGTAATACTTTTCTAGTACCACCATTGATCCAGTGCTCTCCTCCGAAATGCGAAGCTGGTTGTTGGATTGATTATTCCACGGATCCGTGCCCAAGTTGTGCTTGCGACAGAGGTAAAAAATACCTATTTACTTATGAAACATTTAATTCTAATCGGCAGTAATATTATAATTAAGTTCGTTTCCAATAGAATATATATGTAGATGAATCCAGTAGAATATGGCATAAAAATGAATTATTTTCTTTCCGTTTGATTTCTGAAATTCAGACTTAACCTTATTTATATACATTATCAGGTTCAATGTTCCGTCTTACTTTCTTTGGGAACATGCAAGGACCTGACTCGGAACAGAGAGCTTACTAAAGCTATGTTCAATAACTGTGGGAAGTAGACAGGATACACAAGAAGGGTATACAAAACCCTTTATTTTTCTCTCTTTACAATAATTTCCGTACTTCGGAATACAAAGACCCACTACTTGTGGTCTAAACGTAAAAGAATATAAAAATATAACTAAACTCTTAACTTTGAAATAATAAACGTGGAAGATTGGCCTTATATTAACAGGAAGCCGTATGTAGTACAGAGAACTGTTAACACTACAATACGTTTAAAATTATCAAGAGGATTAAATCCTCTGGCCTGGAAGGCAACCAGCAACTGAGTAAAACTTCTAAGGTAAGCGGCCTGCTTCGACTAACTCCTTCCTCTCTCTCGCTTGGCAAAAAGCCACAACTTAAGTACTTGGCGTTCGCCAGACAAATTTTGCATAAATAAGTTAACGCTTTTAATTCTGGCCGGAAGTAGAAAATAAGAAGTGATAGTAAAGATTTAAAATAAAATAAACGTTAGTAAAACTTAAGATCCTTACATACTTCCCGCCAGAGTTAATTAGTTTGAAACTGAGGTCTAAAACGACCTTGTTGAAAACTTTTAGCTCTAGAATCTAACGCGAGGCCAATCTTTTACAAACATTTCTCACTAGAAACTAGAAATTTAAAAAAAAAAAAGAAATTTGTTTTTACAATAGCAGCTCCAAGGACACGCAATTTTTCATCTGTACTGCATCTAAACAGGAGCTTTTATTCAAATCTGGTCTAGTTTAATGAAATGTTACACAATGAAATGGCAAGTAACATGCATATTTATATTTCTCTTAACATTCTTATTTCATTCATGACTATTTTAATTATCTCTCCCCGTGCTCTCTGACATGTGTTGTAAAAGAACACCAAACACGAATGTGTTTATGTATACGTGTTCAACACTTCCTCCTACAATCAAAACACTAACGTGTTAAAAATTCAACATACCAAGACCTCGTAACACACCCTAACTTCAACTCTAAACCCTGAGGTACTATTCTGAAAGTGGCTAACTCTGAAGTGTAGCGTCAGAGAGCCTAACTACATTCATTCAACCTTTAACACATATTCACCATAATTTAGTCTTTTTACAGTCACAGTATCACGGTATAACATTTAAATAACAGTCACTCACCGTCAACCTTATATTTACATAATGAAACACAATCATTTAGGTCCCTTCACACATATAGGAATCACAGAAACATTCAGCACCATTGGTTATAACTGATTTTTTCAGAGTTGCACTCTACTTTTTGACAGGCTGTCTGATCACATAAGAAATATTACGAAGTTAAAATAACTATAACTCGCTCCCTTTTAAACTCGCTCCCTATTTAACTTCGCTAATACTTATGCTTTACACTCATTTTCAATCTAGTTATACATGCACTGATAACATTTACATGTAATAACAGCTGCCCTTACACCTTAAATTGTACTAGTTCACATTGTATATAAGAACATATTAACATGCCGTTAATTTTACGCATTTGAAAACATACATTAGTAGTACATTGTTAACTTCTATTCTTTTCAAAGCAAGTGCCAATTCTTTCTACATTGAAATACTACATTTCAAAAAGTCTTTCAGACTAAAACTTCTTTCTTGCCAGAATGTTTTAAATAAAATTTATACAATAACTTTTACAATATTTAAGTCTTTACACATCGCTATTATACATCAACTTTAGTTTTACGCGCGAGTAATTGAAAAACATAATACCAAAATCGGTAACAACTCATTTCTCGCCCTTTTGGCGATAAAGGTAGACCTCGCATGAGGTAAAACTTCTTGAAATCTGCCACTTGCAGTAAGAATGAAAGATTAACTTAAGTTTGCAAAGTAACATAAAATTTTACTTATCTTTGTGATATTCGGACATTCTTTTCTGAGCCCAGTCCTGGAAGGTAGTGCAGATTCTGGTTTGATTTATCCTCCTTCTTGTGCGGGCTCGCCCTTCAGTGCCTTCCTCTAGAAGCTTTCTTTTTTCTTTCCAGTTCGGTCACCCTTGAATACCTTCTTTTTCTTTTTCGCCTCTGCCTGTGGTCTTGGCCGTTTGATGGCAGCTGGTCTTGGCGGAACCGGGAAACTTCTTTCGCGTTCCTGCTTGGACCTCGTTGCTGGCCGTTCAAATTTTCCTTGTAACTTTTCCTCCGCCGCTGGTGGCCCTTCCGCAGTTCGGCGACATTTGCTGCGGGGAGTCCTGTCGGATGAGTAGATCTTCCGTTTTAGAGCCGGGTTATAGTTGCCGTCATTTCTCCTGGCTCTCTTTACATACGTCGTCCTTCTCCTTCTTCATTGGGGGGGGGTGTTCGTGAGCTTCTTTTCTGGACGGTGGAACGGCTTCTTTTTCTTGTTACCTTCAATTTTCCCGCGGGGAAACTTTCTTTTCACTTGCTCCTGCCTCTTAATGGCTTGCCCTTGTACTTGTCGTTGTTCCACCTCTGGAGCTTGTGCCTGCCGTGTCTGCCGTGCCGGATCCTGCAAAAGATCTGTAAATATTTGCATTTTATTACGATCATAGAAGTAGGGTTTGATTTGATCAATGTTTGCGGAGCAGGTTTCACCATTCCTGGCTTTTAACACTACTACAGCGTGAGTTATTTTTTCTATGACATATGGTCCTTCAAATCGTGGAAAAAATTTGGCAGTTTTTTTTATCTTCTGGTGCTGAAGAAAGTGAATGCTTAATTTTTAATACTTCATCCCCTACTTTATAAGTTACTCCCCGTCGTTTCATTCAAGTCATAATACAGCTTTTGTTTTCTCTGTGCTACTTCAGTATTCTTTTTTGCTTCTTTAATTAGTTTTTCTATATCACCCATTTTAAATTCTGGGGCTCTTTGTTGCACATAAAATAATTTATCTAACGGCGTTATAATCTTTCTGCCTAAAAATAACTCAGCAGGAGTTTTGCCCGTTTGTATCATGTTTTGCGGTCCTAAGGGCGAAAGCAAATTCATTGAAATAGTTATCCCAGCTTTTATGAAAATTTTTAACATAACTACGGATTATTTTCACTATATTTCTATTGACCCGTTCCGCTATATTTGATTGCGGACGATACGGGACCATTTTTAAATGACGTATGCCCAGTTTTTGGCACATGTCTTCAAATACATTACTTACAAATTGAGGACCATTATCCGATATAATCGGTCTTACTTTCTTGTTCCGTCTTATTTCGGAACATGCAAACCTGCGAACAGAGAGTACTAAGCTATACAACTGTGGAAGTAGACAGGATTAAGGATCTTAAGTTTTACTAACGTTTATTTTTACTTCCGCACTTCTTATTTTCTACTTCCGGGCAGAATTATAAGCGTGAAGGAGTTTATGCAAAGTTGTCTGGCGAACGCCAAGTATTTAAGTGTGGCCTTTTTGCCAAGCAGAAGAGAGGAAGCAGTGAGTTCGAAGCAGGCCGCTTACCTTAGAAGTTACGGAGTTGCTATTTGCCTTCCAGGCCAGAGGTTTTAATCCTCTTGATAAATTAAAACGTATTGTAGTGTTCACAGTCTCTGTGCTACATACGCTTCTTGTTATTATAAGGCCAATCTTATTCTAAAGTTAAATTAGAGTTTAGTTTTTATTTTGATATCTTTTACGTTAGACCCCGAGTGGAGGGTCATTGTATTCCGAAGTACGGAAGTCATTGTATATAAAGAAAAATAAAGGGTTTTGTATACCCTTCGTCTGTATCCTGTCTACTTACTACAATTAGTGAACATAGCTTTAGTAAGCTCTCTGTTCTAGTCAGGTCATTGTACGAGGGCCATCCAGGAAGTAGATTACGTTTCCGTCTGTGTCCGCTAGGGGCGGGGCTAGCGCGGCCATCTTGGGGTCAGAGCGTTGCGCAGCTCAGTCTGCATCTAGCCGTGCTAGTGAGAGGTTCGTGCTGTGCTCCGTTCAGATACTGTGACGGTTTGAAATGTCTGCGTTAATTGAAAATCCCGCGAGCTGCGAGGTGCGCTCAGTAATAAGGTTTCTGACTGCAAAAAACTGTAAACCGATAGAAATCTATCGCAGCAGCTTCGTGAAGTGTATGGGGACAACATTATCACTGAAGGGAGTGCGTCAGTGGGTCATAAGATTTCAAAATGCCCGAACCAATGTTCACGACGAAGATCGAAGTGGGGAGACACAGCATAGTGACCGCCGAACTTCTCGAAAAAGTCGATGCTAAAGTCCGTGAAAATCGAAATTTCACAATAATGGAACTTTTCTTTGAGTTTTCCCCCACAAATTTCGCGAAGTTTGTTGCACGAAATCATCAGCGAAAAGCTTGGTTACCACAAGTTTTGTGCAAGATGGATTCCAAAAATCTTGACAGAGGACCACAAAAATCAGCGAATGGCTGCAAGCGTTGAACTTTTTGGACGCTTACCATAAGGATGGTGACTCTTTACTCTTTACTCGATCGCATCGTTACTGGTGACGAAAATGGGTGAAACATGTGAACTGTGAAACGAAATTGCAATCAATGCAGTGGGGGGGCACACAAGTTCTCCCCAAAAACCCAAGAAATGCATGCAACAATGTCGGCAGGAGAGATGATGGCGACTGTTTTTTGGGACAGAAAGGTGTAATTTTGGTGGACTTCCTGGAAAGAGCACTACAATAAACTCTCAAAGGTATTGCCAAACTCTCCAAAAACTCAGAAGAGCAATTCAAAACAAGCGCAGAGGAATGTTGAGCTCTAAGATCTTGTTGATTCACGACACGACAACGCCCGGCCCCACACGGCAAATGTCACTCGTAAAGTTCTTGAATCTTTTAAGTGGGAGTTGTTTCCTCATCCGCCGTACCGT